TTGGTTCCGAATTAAACACAAGATCTAGAATCTGCAACTTAAACTCAACTCGACTCAATTACACCTGGGCTCCAGAGCTTAGCACAATCCAAGCCATTTTATTCTATTAACGTTAGTTCCATGACCATTCATTTCAATATCTACAATCTACATGATGCAACCACTTTAATTCTAGGAAACATTTATTTTTATCCTTTTGTCAGTTACCCAGAAACGACATCTATGATCACCGAAAACACAGACATTATATGTTCAAAATAAAGAATGAATACAGATATCGTTAACTAATGTTCATCAAAAGGGCCAGAAAAAATAAAATGTTGTGGATGCCATGAGAAACAAAACAAGTATGGCCGCCAGGCATTAGAAACTTCATTATTTTGCTAAAACATGAAATGTTGTTAACACAACAGCATAGGATAAAACAATAATACACTACCAGACCATCAGATGCCTGAGGTCGCCTTATGCTCCGAGTTTTGAGTACTTCAAGTTTATTCCATGATAACCACTTGCAATAGGAAATTAACTCCCTACATACCATCAAACAACTTGTCAAAAAACTTCAGATGGCAATCTGGCATTTGCTGTGAACATATATGAATATGCAAGGAATAAGAAAACAGTTAATAATATATACCATCTTACTAATTTCAATGGCTTAAAAAGAGGGAACTAAATGTTAAGCATGCACCGCCTCAATAAGCTTGTGTCCTATATGCCATTTTCTACTCGAAAATGACTAAACTTGATTTGGTTATCATATCTTATGCCTTCTTCAGAATTGCATGTCCAGCTCAGTTGGTAGAACAGAAGGCTCTTAACCTTGAGGTCGTGAGATCGAGTCCCAAGGTGGGCAATTTATAATTCGGAAGTCTCCCACGGAAGCTGCTCTCAACCTAGTGTTTGCCACTGCCAGCTGATATGAAGGGAAAGTTACAATTTATTCCTTGAGGACATTAAAGGAAATAAGTTAATCCTCAATCAGTCTTCTGCAGGCATTGTACAGTCAAGCACACCATATTTTTTCTTTCTCGTGAAACAATTCATGTACGTACCAAAGGGTACAGTGTGTTGTGAAAGCATGCATAATGTGGATGACAGAATAAGCTGGGCAATCAATAACATAATTCCATAGAACAGAAAATTTTCACATAACAAAATGGAAATTAATTATTATAAATGCCAAATAATGCAAGCTAAGAGTACAAATTTTGGAAGGAAAAAAATGCACCAAAAAATTGAAAGTCAGAAAGATGACAGAAGCAACCTGCGCAGAAACTAAGCAGAAGCCTCCAGCAACTCCCTTTCGGCACGCTCTCTAATCCTTCTCTCAAGCTCTGGCCTAAAGTGTCGTATAAGACCCTGCACGGGCCAAGCAGCTGCATCACCCAAAGCACAAATTGTGTGCCCTTCAATCTGCTTGGTCACCTCCTGAAGCATGTCAATCTCTTCCAACTTTGCATTCCCGACTTTCAATTTCCATGATCATCCATAGCCACCCAGTCCCTTCCCTGCAGGGTGTGCACTGTCCACAACTCTCGTGCTTGTAGAAGTAAGAAAGCCTTGCGATTGCATCTACTACATCGGTTGATTTATCCATCACAATTACAGCAGCAGTTCCCCCTGACTGGACAGCCTTGAGTGCATCATAATCCATCAGGACATCATCACATATGTGTTTGGGTAAAAGTGGAACAGAAGAACCTCCTGGTATTATTGCAAGTAAATTGTCCCATCCACCTCTGACACCTCCACAGTGCCTCTCTATCAACTCCTTAAGTGGGATACTCATCTCTTCCTCAACTGTGCAAGGCTTGTTGACATGACCTGAGACGCAAAACAATTTGTCCCAGAATATTCTTCCTCCCAAAACTGGCAAACCACTCAGGACCACGTCTCAATTGTGGGTGAAACAGCCACTGTCTCCACATTTGTGACAGTGGTTGGACAACCATATAACCCTGCATTAGCAGGGAAAGGAGGCTTCAATCTAGGTTTCCCTTGTTTTCCTTCGAGGCTCTCTAGAAGTGGCTGTTTCTTCACCACAAATATAAGCACCAGCACCATAATGGATGTGAACATCAAAATCATAACCAGAACCACATGCATTTTTGCCCAACAGTCCAGCTTCATAAGCTTCTTTTCTAGCTCTTTCAAGGTTCTTACGTTCATTCACATATTCACCCCTGATGTAGATGTAAGAGCCGTAGCTCTCATCCCAACCCCAGCAATCAAGCAGCCCTCCAATAGTTTGTGAGGATCGTGGCGCATGATTTCCCTATCCTTGCAGGTTCCAGGTTCACTTTCATCAGCATTGACAACAAGATAAGAAGGGCGGCCATCGGATACTTTTGGCATAAAAGACCATTTTAGGCCCGATGGAAAACCAGCACCACCACGTCCCCGGAGTCCAGATTTCTTCATTTCATTGACAATCCAATCCGCACCCTTGAGTACTAAATCCTTGGTTCTATGCCAGTCACCACGTTTCATGGCACCTTTGAGAAAAGGGTCATGCACCCATATAAGTTGGTGAAAATACGGTCCTCATCTTTTAGACCACCAAATGGGTTTTCTCAGGTGGCGGAGGCGGAGGGGGGGGCTGTGGAGCACCAGCAGTTGTTGCTCCTTGAGTACTAAATGATCTAATATCTAGTTTCCACCTCTCACTGCCAGCCTTGAACAATGCAGCCCTTTGCAATGAAAGAATGACCTTAATGGAACCTACAGAAAGAAATAACAACCATCAGTAACCTCTTTGTCCTTCCTTTTTCATTGAACATCCCCCAACACAAAGACTTTGGGACATAACTAATCAATTTCTTAGCTTCCATGAAATGATCTAATTATCAGAAATAAATCTAAATACAACACTGAAGAAGAAAATAACAATGTGAATTAACAAACATGTTAGAATGAAGCAACTGACATCGGAAAAGCCTATCAACACTCCTAGGGGATCACTGCAGAGACAACTGGAGCCAATAATACACCCAGTCTGACAGCGGCAACCAAATAGGGAAGAATATAACAAAGACCCATCAGCTTCCATTATAAAAATTAATCAGTCCATCAAAAAAAACGACTTCTCTGTGAATGTAACTAAACATTTTCCGAGAACTAAATTAGAAATCACTTCCTCGATGCCAAAGTGAGTCGCATCCAATTTGAAGCAACTAAAAAAATTCCTAATTCCTCATAATTACCTTAACTTCCTTCCGCTGAGATATGGAAATGAACAATCAGAACTAAAATCTACACTAACTAAAATTAATTTCATAACCCTAAAACAACAATCAATACTCAGTAAGCTTAGTTTCTAGCAAATGAAAACTGAAAATTTCTCATCTGTGCGCTAATTTCCACTAGCTTAACCGCACCCAAACAGAATATAAAAAAGAAACAAGAAAATCAATCGATTGGATCTAGAACTAAACGAGAAAAACAAACAACATTTCACGATCAAACAATTATGAACCGACGAGAAAGCCAACGCGAGCGAAAAAAACGAAAGGAAAAAGCTTGGAAGCATGAACGTACCATTGCGTAAATGACGCCGACGATCCTTGATGATTCGCGATTTCGACTGAGACTGGAAAAAAATCAGGGACAACAGCGGAGGTAAATAGAGGAATTTGAAGATGGGGAGTACTTGGCTACGGCTTACAATAAAGATTGGTGAGGGAAGCTCAAGTTATTGGTTGATATGGGGTAGTAAGTGATCTGACGGTAGAAATTTTAAAAGAGTTTGTGATGGTTTTCGACGATACGTTGTGATGGCGTGGATGTTGTTTGAGCCACCATTCAACGGATATGATTAATTGGCCACGTCTACAGTTGAATCGTGCTTTTTTTGTTATATTAAAAATAATTTAAATTATTATAAAATACAATTTAAAAATTATACGATAATAATATTGAAGTTTGAAATAGGTAAAACTATGATTTCGTTCCATTATTGTACTCACAATCCAAATTCAGTTTTGAAATTATAAGATAAAATTGTACGTAATTTTACAAGAATAACATCTTATACCAATTTTGTTAACTTTTACGTAAATACTCTCGTTAAATATTAGCAACATGTATTTATATTAAAATCATTTTAATAATTCAGTATTCATATTAAAAATTTGAAAATGTGGCTATTTCACAATTCAACCCTAATTATGTGGTTAGTTACGTTAGTTTATCCAAAATTAACACCATAAGAAAATAACCATACAAGCACAAAAATCGAGAGTATATCATCATTCACAATAAGTATAAACAAAATAATTAATTTATGTAGTATTTGTAAAATTTATGCGCCCTAAAACTAAACTCAATTTATACTTTTAGTGTAACATAAAACGTTTATATTTATATAACATTTTAGATAAATAATATTTTAAATTAAAAATGACGTAAATTAATTATAGCACAACAAAAGCACCCATAATTGATCCAAATAATTTAAAAAATTTTAAATCACCTACAACAATAACCTATAAACCCATTAAACTTAGCTGAATTCAGTGGAAATCACAGTTCGTGATAGTGGACATGTTTTATCCTAAAATTTAAATTTTATTCAATTGTTATTTACTTTATTGATGGTGACCATCCTAAATTTTTCGTGCCCACCATAAACTTTGAGTTTTCTTTAATTAATTATTGATTTTGTGACGGTGTCATCCTAAAATTTTATTTGTACCCATCTCATTAAAAAATTATGTTGTTAATGTATGTATGCACACCTTTAAAAATATTTTTGGATCTGTTACAACAAACAGTAATGTAATGGATAAACCTAGCATTTTGTTTAAGCCATGCAAGAAAACACACACAACAAACCTTGTACTCCAAAAATAGCTTGAAAAAGGAAAGGTCAAACGAAGATCAATGCTGGTCACCCAAAAAATAACCAAGTTTTTGCCGAACTTGTCTTCTCCGGTCAAACCAAAACCTGATATAAAGAGAAGCACTTAACAAGAGATTCCAAGGGGAAGAAGAAGATGGATTCAGGGTTATCGTGGGCTGATCAATGGGATCCAAACCCAGATCCCGGAACGGAAGCTTCCGGCGACAAGAAGAAGAAGGAGGAGGAAGGTTCCGGCAAGGGCAAGTTCAGCAAGTCGTTTCTGAGTTTCAAATGGATTAAGGAGTTGAAGAAGAAAGGTAGCAAAGGAGAACGACAAGTACAAGAAGAATGATGAGGAAACATTGCCATGGATGGATCCTGATCATAACCCTACAAAGATTCTTATCCATTTACTGCTCTTTGTATTATGGTTTCTCTGTATATTCCCATTTGATTCAAAGATGAAATTTATGTATGTTATGATTAAATATCTCATGTTCCCCGAGGAATAAAACATGCTGGAAAACAAGACATGCATCCATGTGTTTTGGATGATTAGTGGATTTGGTTTTGGATAATAACTTTCCATTAGTAAGAAGAAGAATTCGTACCGTTGACGATAAATCTAATGCAATAGAGAAAAAATAAAGATAAATTAAGCATTTAACATAAACTATCATTTTGATATTTTTAGTATTTAAACTTTTAATTTTTTCAAAACCATATCTAAAGTTTAGTTTTGTTTCATTTTAGTACTCATCGTTAAAAACTTTAGTTTTTGTTTTATTTAGTATCCCATTCAAAATTTAACATTAGTTTGAAAAAAATTTAAAAGTTTAAGTACTAAATGTATAAAAACCGATAGTTTAGGTACTAAACGCGTTAAAATTTTAACGATGGTACTAAAATGAAATGAAACTAAACGTTAGACATGGTTTGAAAACTTGAAAGTTGAAGTACTAAACGGACTAAATTGATAATTTAGATACTAAATACGTAATTTACCCAAAGTTTAAGTATTTGAGGTTTGTTGTGCTAATTTATTGTCGTACATCCTATCTAAAGATAACATGAATAGAACGAATACTAAAGAGATACATTCCACTTTATACTAAAGATACATCCTATCGAATTGACACGTGTAATTAAAAACAAAATTTTAGGAGCCTAATTGCATCAAAGGAAAAGTGAGATGTCTAATCATACATAAATACTGAAATTTGATACCAAATTTATATTTAGCTTAGATGAGGAAGTAAAGGCTTATTCATAAAATCCATTCAACATATCTTAAATATAGCAGCAGACTATCCACGGATGCCTAATACCATCAACGGAAGAGCAACTACGAATCAAGTACCAAATAGGAAACAAGTTGCATCGTTGCTAATTCCAATCCTAATCGTGGAAGTTAAAAGAAAAAATCCAATTATTATGGAACCAAGTTGAGATTCAAGCGATCAGATATCGTATACCGCTGCTTGCAGAAAAACCAGGGCCTGCTGTGCAAAGCGCCATACAGCAAGAAAACCGATCACAATCAAATCCAACCTGCATCAGAGACCAGAAGTATTTCTCATCTACCATGTCGACTATATGAGTGCTCGTTGTCGAGCCTATGTTCGAGTTGGAAACTCTGAACTTTCCCACCAACTTCAGCATTGACCATCCACAAGAAAACAGATATTGTCTCGGAAATACATGCAACACGAGGTTTTAGAAATGAGACATCAAGGTTTTACTTGCAGCCTCCAACAATCTGAACAAAGCACTCCAGACTAAATGTTTC